ATATGGAATTAAAAAAATTAAAAATTAAAAAAAAACAAGAAATTAGAAAGGGGGTTTGGAGGAAGGAGAGATATGGTGGCGTGGACTGTCTTGCTATATATATATAGAGAGAGAGATGGATAGATAGATAGATAATGGAATATTAATAACAAATTTTTAATATAATCAAATATTAAGAATAGAAAATATCAAAATAAAATGTGAAAATAATAATAAGATACTACTAAAATACTAATAAATATGGATTAATAATGAAATATTAATAACATATCACTAATAAAAATAATATCATTAATTAATATTAAAATAGTAAAAGATAATAAGTATTTAAATATTATTGAAATATTAATTACTAGTAATATATTAGTAGTAGTATTAATATTTACTGTTTTATTAAAATTTTATTATTAAATAAAACACTAAAATACTACTACTGCTACTATCATCTTATTATTTTAATTATAATTAACATTAAATGTCCCATAATAATAATTCAAATTATACCATAAAGGTGAAGATAGTAAAATGTTCACTTTTCAGGATTTAACATTCAGAATTAGAACAATGCACTATGCATTTAGAAAATCAAACAGAGCACCAGATTAAACATTACCAAATCGAAATGATAACAGCCTTTTTGGTTTTCAAGCATCAGATTTAAATGGTACAAAATGACACCTTAATTTGAAAAAGCTCTCACTTTTGATCGTTGGATTGTGAGAAACAAAATTTAGTAGAAAAAAACAATTAAATAAATAAATTGTTTTGATCACTTGGTGAGAGTTCAATGATGTAAAAACATAGCAATATATACAAGGCTAATTTACTTTTATGGTAAATTACAGATAGGTACCCTATACTTTGGGGTTGTGATAGATAGGTGCCTTGAACTTTCAATTGCAACACTTGAGTACCATGAAGTCTAAAAAATTAGACATTCGGGTCCATTCGTTAGTATTCCATCAATTAAACATTACATGATGTCAAAAATACCCTTCTCGTGTATTTTTTGAGATCATTATATGGAGTAGAATCATCACCAGAGAATGACGTCGTTGGAAAATTTGAATATGTTATTTGCTATCCATGTGAGAATGTCATCGTGGGGAGACATTCGGTTACTTGAGAATGACAAAAATACATGAGAAGGGTATTTGTGGTATTATGTAATGTTTAGTTGATGGAATACTAACCAATGGATCCCAATTGTCTAATTTTGATAGTTCAAGGCACTCAAGTGTTGCAATTAAAAGTTAATGGTACTTATCTATCGCTACCCCAAAGTATAGGGCACCTATCTGTAATTTATCCATACTTTTAAGATCAAACTTCAAAGTATAAAGCCTATGCACCCATTTGGGAGGGCATTTACACAATGGTTTTTTGCTTTATGAGATCGGATCCACTTAGATAGCCTATAAGCAGTAAGTAGTGCTTGGTGGAAAAAACACATAAACTAGTTGTATTCCACCCCGAGCAAGGGCATTCTCATAATGGTTGTTTAAAAATGCATTTGATTTGAAAGATAAAACGGTAGGGAAAGGTAGTTCTTCATCAGATTTGATTACCACAAGTGATAGTTCTTCATCTACGAATTGGGCGTCGTCCATTACCACAAGTGATAGCTCTTCATTTAGGCTACAGTTGGCATTCCCTATTTTAATAAGTTATCCCCTTTTTCGCAATTAAAATGCCCATACGAACACTAAGCTTTTAACTACAAAAAGGAGACAAGTCCTTCAAACAATGAATGCTGAATGTAGCCTTAGTATATGTTTGGTTTTGTAGGCATTTATCCTTGGGTGTTTATTGCTTTAAACATTTGTTTTAACAATTTTGCTTTAAATGTTTCTTGCTTTTATTGTGTGGTTGAGCATAAATTTAAACGTTTTTTACTTTTCAGCTCAAATTAACACCCAAAAAGTATACCACATAAGCATTCCATTTCAATAAATGCTTAGGCATTGGGAGAAACAATAATTTAACATTCCCCAAATGTCTCATGCACATACATCCAAACATTTATGCTTTTTAGTGTTTACTAGTAAGTATGCACGTGGGAGTTCTAGATGATGATAACGATAGTAATAATGTATCCAAAATTTTATATAAATTTTGTGTATTTTTTATTTTTTGGTTTTCATTATTAATCTGATGCAGATTGCAAAATCCGAATATGATTATGTAAGTACCTCATATTGAACTGCAAATTTGTTGGGTATCATTGACAACCTACCTAGTTGGTTGGATTTTTTCTTTTTGTAATGTTTTATCTTCTCAGTGTATTTTTTTGTTCATTTATTAAAAAATGCAATATTTAAAGAGAGGGAATTGAATGAGGTGAAAATTGTAATTCACACTATATTTTAAATCTCACAATTAAATATGGATTAAATTCAAAAAATGAGTATTTTAGTCAAAAGAAAGTTCAACGATCTTATTCATATTTCTAATAGTAGTGCAAATATGGAATTATAGTAGATGTGTTTAATTTTTTTTCTATAATTTTTCTATTTCTGTGTGTAAAAATAATTATGTTATGTAAACTTATTTTTTGTTTAATATGATAAATATATGATATTATACATGTGCCTAAATGTTTTTTTTTTGTAAAATTTATGTGTTTTTATATTTTATTAATTTTTATTATTTAATTATGAAATTAAAGGTTGACAAATTTGACCCAAAAATTTAACTATTGATCTCCGCTAAACAGGAAAATAATTTTATTTTTGGTTAGTTTAGATTATGTATTTCATTTTCATCACCGATAAATATAATTGTTATTTATTTCACTTATTTTTTTAAATTGATAAATAAAAATGTCATAAATGTGTCTATTTTTTATATATTTTTGTATATTTTTATATTTTAAAATTTTATTATCTAGCTATGACTTTATGAGTTAACCAATTTGATTTGGATGGTTAAATTGCTTAGTCATCACTTGGCAAAGAATGGTTTTATTTTTTGAGTAAGTTTTAAAATATATGGGTTTATATTGTTAAAAGTTTTGGACATAGATCTAGTTAGTAGCATTTATTAGTGAGAAAATAACTTAAATATAGAATTTAATAAGAAAGAATGTGAGTTAATACCTTAAATATAAGAGTTAATGAGAGGGGGATTAAATGAGAATAACATTAATTGAAATTACATTTTTCAAACTTCATAATTAGAGATAGACTAAATAACAATTGTGGGTATTTTTGGTTAAGAAAAGTTCCACACCCTCATTCATACTTTTTATAATAGTATAGATAGATATAGATTTGATATATAGTGAAACAAAAAAGTGGTTTCATGCTCAGTAAATGCAAACGCCCGTGTGGCGCTGATGTGGTAACGTTTTTTCAATAAATGCCCACAGAACCAAACATCCCCTTGTTTCATTGGCATATTCATCGTGTTATTGCATGTTATAGAAATCTATTTTTTTTGGGCGGCTTTGATCAAGGTGTTGATCCCCTTCATTCATCATATGGGTAATTTTGTGGCTCATACCATTTTATGAGCAGTGTGATTGCTATTTAGGCATCGTAGTTGTCTATGATACTTGATTTTTTATTACTTCTACTCATGAATGATTTTGTGCAATGATATTGAAAATCTGTGCTATACAAAGTGATACTTGCCTTGTTCATAGAAATTAAATCCAAATATCATATATATCATATCTAGTTAATACTTATTTGCACATGTGCTGTTACATTAGCCAATGGTAAAATAAAAAGTGTAAATTGCTGAAACCTCCCTTGAAGTTATAGATCATTGCTAAAATCTTCCCTGAAGTTTGGTAATTGCAATCACCTCCCCTGTACCTTTTGACATAGTTGCAAGTGGACCCTTTGTTAGAATCATCTAAAAAGAGGTATTAAAATGTCCAAAATGCCCATGCAGCTACTATTGGGACTGGTTTCTGTAGCAAAAAAAAAATACAGACTTCATTGAAAAAAAAGAAAATTTAAAATTGTGGCTTTACCTCTAAGCCTATGTTTGGTTTGAAGGAAAAAGTAGGGAAAGGAAGGGAAACTTGGGGAAACTTATACAAGGCTTGTAAAGGTTTCCATACATTTCTATTCCTTTCCTTACTTTTTCCTTCAAACCAAACACAGCCTAAGCAAATGGTTATTCCAGCTGATTTCTATTCCCTCCCCCTCCCTTGGAAATGAAATCCCATTCTAGTTAATTTCAATTTTTGTCGCAACCAAACAAATTATGGGAATAGATCATTCAGATTCAGATTCCAATAGATTTTGATTTGACTACGAACCAATAACCGCTCGGAACCAACCAATTGGTATTCATGCAAGCAAGAATGTCACTGGATCGGGTTAAGTGGCAAACCCACATTGCCCTGAACTCATCGAGATTGTGTTGGCCTGTTGGGCCAGTCGTCTTTGAGTATTCAGTTGGGCCGAGTTGAGGCTGATCTGTGTCAAACCCCAACGGAGGGATGTAAGTCGGGTATCTGATTTACGCGGCATTGGGCCTGGCCCATTAAAATTTTAACAGTTACAGTTCGAGCCCACCCAAGTTGGACCGGAAATTCACATGGGCCGAATTCATGTTAGATGGGCCGGATTCGAACTGAGCAAGGTCCGTACCAAACCCGACCCGTTAGAATCCCTTCATGCATATGGTAAGCGGTAACCAATAAACTGTAACTGGTATTCATAATTTCATACAAATTCACGTGGGGTTTGAATTTCTGATTGGTTAAAATTTTTCAGGTACCATACCTTTTCCGGCATCCGGCATCAAAGCAAAGGCAAAATCTATGATACGGAAAAAGATATGGTATAGAAAGAGATGAATTTTGGTAAATAACATGGCTACCACGTTTTTTATTCCACTTAATTGGTCAAATGTTTTTGGGTTTTCCATAGCCACGTGGCTGCGTTATCTACCGTGAAATGAAGCATATTTTTGTATTTTGTAAGTATCCACGTTTTACTTCGCCTATTATTATTATTTTTTCAGACGAGTTATTTGTGTTTCAATTTTTCCATTTTTCCCGCCTTTCCCAAAACCCCAATTCTCTCTCTCTCTCTCTCTCTCTCTCTCTCCACTACATTCATTCTTTCATTCTATCCGATCTGCTCTCAGTAATACACATTCATACACACAGACAGTTGCACAGCCCAGTAATCAAACCCTAAACGGAGATCCGGCACTGCAAATATGAATCAGTACCACATCTATGAAGCTATTGGCCGGGGCAAATACTCGGTAAGAAGTAAAAATGCAGTACATTTAGGGTTTACTTTTTTGCTTTTCATGGATTCAGTCGAACCAGCTAACAAATCGACTTCCCATTCTCAGTTTCTGTGTAACTTGTTTTTCTTTCTTATTGGTGCTTTTGATGTAGACCGTTTACAAAGGAAGGAAGAAGAAGACGATCGAGTATTTTGCTATCAAAAGCGTCGATAAGTCACAAAAGAGAAAGGTTCTTCAAGAAGTAAGTCGCATCCCTTTTCAAACATGGTTGGTCCTCTCAAACGCTAAATAATGGGTTTCAAGCATAACCAAACCTTCTCGCTTCATTCAATTATGTATTTTCTCCCGCTGTGTTGAGTTTTGGTGCAATTAACGAGGAACTAAAATGGATGCTGGAATTTGTAGTTCTGTTGTTAAACCTGGCTAATTTTAGGACAACATACAATGATAGATTTAAGGGCTTCCATCCATAGGTTATTACTGCCACTACTTTTTTTTGCAGGTTTTGGGGCTATTATAGATTCTTTACAATTTCCGGTTATGAATATTCTAGGAAGTTCTGTTGGATCTTCATCTCCTCCAGCGATCTGCTTAGCTTTTATTAAAAGATTGGATAATTTTGTCATCTTGATTGTGTTTTTTGTCATTTTTGGATAGGATGTGACTTGTTTAACAAGAATAAAAGACAAGAAGATATGCTAATTCTATGTATTGATTTGTTCCTACGGTAATTATGTTAATTGTTCATCATTGGGTATGAATTCTGATGCCCTTCTCTCATTGGATTGTACGAGCCTTTTGCTTTACGATTTCTGAACAACGAAGCACCAAGTGGGAACAAATGAAAGTACACATCTTATTTATTCACCATTCTCACTCTGTACTCAAGGACAAAACTCATACATTGAGAGAAAAATCCTCTTTACCATGAGTCGTGGTTACTGCTTTCTTTTTTATTTTATTATGATACTTCCTCAGTCTAATAATGAAATAAATCACCTCAGCATTTGAGTGGCTTCAGCCACAATATCGAAGGCATTTAACCATGGTACACTAAAACATATATATCGGTGGGCTATGTCTTCTTAGAAATATGAATCTATAAACTGTGACAGAGTAACCTGCAATACTGTAACATCACAAGTTATTGTTTCCTTTACATTTCAACCCTTGTTAAAGAGGGGAAACTCTAAATGTATGCCTCCTAGGCTATGATTGGGGAATCACATCCACTGATGTAACTATGTAACTATAGTTCATTTTTATTCCTTTTTGTCAAGTAATGAGAAAATATATGCATAGATGTAAAGTGGAAAGTTCCCAATATCAAAAGCCTGTACCAACATGATTAACACCTAAAGAAGTGGACTGTATATGTGTTTTGGGAGTCTCTTGCCAAAAATGTTGCAAACCAAGCAGCAGTGAAATCAGTGAGTTTGATGTAATTTGAACAATCTTCGAGCATGGTCAACTGATGGAATGTGTGCCTTGTCCCCAAACATCAAAAGTCCTAATTAATTGTATTTGATCATGCTAAAATATGATTCTAGGAATGATCCATGAAGATCCTACTAAATGGAGTAATATATACTTCCCAACTCTCGGCAAAAAAGTAGATGATTGACAGATACCACTTATTCCATAAAGAAAGGATTTAGTAGACATATATCTTACATGCTACCAACTTAAACCAACTTATAAATTAGAATACTTGGTTGGTTCTCCCATTTAAAATTGCCAAAACATGACAAAAGGGGTATACATCATTTTTCTTCCAAAAATCTCATCCAAAATAGTCTATAACTGCACTGCATACCTTTTTTGTTCAGTCCTTGTAGTTTATGGTAACTTATTTCCAATTTTAATACATACAGCTCATGACTAGTGAGACTTGTCTCTTTCTTCATTGTTGGTGCATAAACTGGACTCAAATGCAATCTCCCAGCTGTAAACGAGTGATCAATAGGATTGGGCCCAACTAGTGCCTCTTAGTTGCTAGACCAACCATAATTCCTACTTCTGTGGATGCTTACTTTCTAAATACTTCCTGCTTTGTTCTCTATACCTCCATTGGCCTTTTTCTCTTTCTAATGATCAAACATTTTATGTACTGCAAGATAGTTTAAAGAGTGTGCCTTACTTGAACCTAGATGATGCTCCTTTGAAAAGATGCATGACTAGTGCATCAAGGTGCATGTTTGGGTTGTCCTGTGCCTTGGCCTTGGTGCACATTTTTTGTAAGTTTATTTTTTAAAATATTATGTGTTTTACTTCTAAATTACGTTTATTGGTGATGGTCTTTTAACATTTTAGAGAAACAAAAAATAAAAAGAAAAAAGACCTTTTGAATGGTTGAATCCCTATTTGTTGCATGTAGGAGTTTAGATAGTAAAATTTCCGCTGGAGAAGCAAACACAATACACCCATTGTTTTAGTTGACAGTTAATGCTGTAAAACAGTGTCTAATCAAGAAAAAAAAAGGTAAAAAACAGATACGAAACAGTAAGGTAGAAGAAGAAGGGAGAAGAGAGAAGAGAGAAGAAGAAAGAAAGAAGGTTTTGGAAGAAGAGATTGTGGCTTTCTCCCAGCCACTTTCTATCTTTTATTCGACCTATCATAATTAAAAAGAAGATTACATAAATGCCCCTAGTAAGGTGGCTGTTAATAAGAATAAGAGAAACCAAGGAAATAAACATAACAAAAGGGGCCTGAGGCCCATTATAACTAAAGCCCATAATTATAAAAAATAAATAAATAATTGGACAAATAGGGAGCTGTCTGGCCCAATATCTCAACAGTTTTAAAAGCACAGGGGGCATTTTGCACCTGAGGTGTGTGCCTTTTTGAAGCAAGGGCGAAAAAAAATTCAAAAAAAAAGCCAAAGAATTCAAAAAACAATGCAAAAAATTAAAAATATTAAACATGAATTAATTAAAAATTTAAAATAAATGTTTTGAAAAAAACCTACTATGTCAAATTAAAATACATAAACATAACATGTAAAATATATTTAAAATGAAAATTTAAAAATAAAATCAAGCATAACATATAAAACATATTCAAGCATGTACAACTCTCAATTCCTTATTTTTTCCCCAATTGAATTACTTCAAATAGCTAATGTGATGTTAAACATTATGCATTGCTGATTTTACGAGCAGCCTTTGTACCAAGCCCCTTGAGGCAAATCCATATCAGGGTTTTAAATATTTAATCCCTATAAAAAGATTTTATAACTTTGTTTGTCTTTTAAAAACGTCTTTAATTAGGATGAATGATGAGCACCATTAGCAAATATGGGGTTTTCAAAGCTTTGGTGAGCGGAAATCTGGAAAAAAATATTTTTATAACTTTAATTGCCTTTTAAAAATATATTTTATTAGGATGAATGAATGAGCAACATTAGCAAATTAAAAGACACTTAAAGTTATAATTTTTTTATAGGGATAAAGAATTTAAGGCCTCAATATGGATTTGTTTGGGTTTGCAACAAATGCGCAAATTTTATAAAGGCATGTGCTAACCTAAAATGCGCCTTGCCTGCTTCTAAATCACCAAATACACCTGATCTTTGATTAACCCTAAAATAGAATGAATTCTAGGCATATTAGCACTCCTTTGTAAAGGTCCTGACTTCTTAACTGATCAAAAAAAGGGTGTAACCTCTTAGGATTAGGAATGCAAGATATCCAACATTACACTATCTACTTGAAGTAATGCAAACATTCAACTTTGAATTTGTTTTATATGTTATGTTATGAATTTTGATTTGAGCTAATAAGTTTTAGAAACATTTAATTCCTTTTAAGATTCAGGTTTCTGTATTTTTTATTTTTAATTTGCACCTTGTCTTGTGCCTTGTGCTTGGGTGTTAGAAGGCCCTTGTGCTTTTCTTGCGCCTCTCACTTTTAAAACACTCTATGAGAAAGAAAAGGGTCTTGAAAAAATTCAGATGTGCTCCTATTTCAACCACCCCATCTTTAGAATACCTAGTTTGGTGGTATAGTTTTTCAATTTGTTAAAATCCTATAGAACTTGTAACTAGATGCCTTCTAGGAGAGTAAATAGTACTCTTTTTTAAAATGGCATACATAATATGGTCCTATTATCTCTTCAGATGCCAATAGATCACTTTGAAAATGGATCCCATGCAAACATGGAAGCAAGGGAAGAAACTAAGGAAGAAGAAATCAAGAGATTTCATTTTTTTTTATTGGAAATGGTAATTTTATTAAAGAAAATTCAAAATACTACTGTCAATTGATTTCATATTTTTGAACCAATTTCATTTTGTTTCGTAATTTCTGGGTGATTTAGATTTTAATATTATTGAATTTTCAAGTTTATTTTCTTGTTTGATGGCCATCTGGGAATATAGTTAAGTTTCATCTTCATCATTAATCATTATCCCAACTATATGGGGTCAGCTACATGAATCCTGTTTCATCAATCCATTCTATTTAAAGCCATATAGTAAAGTTTCTATGCTTTAGAAATTTAGTGTTCTTAGTAAAAATGAAATTACCATTTTTAGTAATTTAGACATTATTTAGTATTCAACTATTTACAGTAATTCCCATAATTGATTTTTATAGTAAAATCATGACTTGCTATTTTTAGTAGTTTTTGGTTTTTCTACCAAGTTTGTTTTAGAGGAATTTGGGGCTTATAAATGTGGCCCAATTTGAAAAGGAAGTTGCTACGTTTTTAAAGTCTGAATACAAGGCGTTAGATCTAATATAAGCAGGAAGTTGTTATTGTTTTTTTTTTTTTTCATTTTTTTGGTTCTTATTGGTCTATATAAGAGTGTCAGCAGGTCTTGTAAATAGCCATTCATCATTTCATCTTACTGTTCTTGAGCAATAAAGCATTGCATGCTTTCTTATTCCCTCTATAATCAATTGCTATAGAGTAGCTTATTTATCTGTTTTTGCATATTCTTCTATTGCTTTTTAGTGAATTCTTCTTAATCTTGCTAGTTTGCTGTTTGGAAAAGTCTGGTTGCATCAGGATCTACACATCTATCAGATTTAATGAAATGATTAGTTACTTTTCTAGTTGAATCTACTATGCACCTTAAGTCAGTATATGTCTGTTCATGCAGGTTCGGATTCTTCATTCTTTAGATCACCCAAATGTACTAAGGTTCTATTCATGGTAAGCTACTTTTTGACAGTGGCCTATAATTTTGATTGCTTAAAATGCATAATCCATCCTTTTCAATCCAAGTGTCTCTGAACCAATTAAAATGTCCTAGTTAGATGAGCATTTTACATATGGTTAACTTGTTCATGAACTGTATTTGTATTAAATTTCAATTGAATTGTTCCTTACTAGTTTTTAAGTGTAACTATTAGGTATGAGACTTCTGCTCACCTATGGTTGGTCTTGGAATATTGTGTTGGTGGAGATCTCATGACTTTGTTACGCCAGGTATCTTTCTGTACATATCTAGATTATAGATAAATTTTTCATTGGTATTAAATATTATAAGCACACTATTGTTCTCCATTTTCCCAAGGGAACTTGGTATAAAGATAGACACAAAAGATAGGAAACATGCTACAAATTGGATAGAACTTAGATTTATGAAGCTTACAGGGTAATGACTCATAAGGAGAACGTTGCAATATCTTTGCGGGTTTTTCCTGAACCTTTTCTCTTTTTATTAATAATTTCTCCTTTAATCTAGCATGAAGGCAGTTTATAAATCTCTGCTATTTCAACATGAGAAAGATACCAGTCACTTGTGTATGGGTGCTGGGACACAGGTTTTTACAAAGCTTCTATTTAGCCTTTCTATTTATTTATATTATATAAATAGTTTTTGCTTGAATTGGAGTAAACCACAGAAAATGGGTTCCAGTTATATAAAGTAACTGTAGAGTTTAAACCATACACTTTTATAATTGGAAAGTGGAATTTGTTTTGGTTGCAGGATAGTCAACTTCCTGAGGATTCAATACATGAACTTGCTTGTGATCTTGTCAGGGCTTTACAGTAAGAAATGCTTATTGACATTCATATTCATGATTCACTTAAGAGTTTACCTCTTTTAAGTTGACATTTGGCAATTATCACCGCCGTTCAGGTTTTTGCATTCAAAAGGAATTATTTACTGTGACCTAAAACCATCAAACATCCTTTTGGACGAGAATGGGCGGACCAAGGTAGTTGGTTTCTCTTTCTTCATCCTTTAGCTGGTTACATTGTTGAAAATTGATAGTTTCCGTTATGCTTGCCTGTAAATTTATAGTTCTCGGTCATTCTGGTTATTGCAGCTCTGTGATTTTGGATTGGCAAGAAAATTGAGTGATATATCTAAAACTCCTTCTTCTCTGGTTGGTTCCTCTAACTACTATATACCTCACCTGACCCTTGTGCTAACTTATTTATCACAGCTATTCCTAGTTCTGAAATTACTGTAATTCCCTCACCCCTCTCTTTTTCTTCCTTTCTTCAGCTGCCACAGGCAAAACGTGGAACACCCTGTTATATGGCACCTGAGTTGTTTCAAGATGGAGCAGTTCATTCTTATGCTTCTGATTTGTGGGCCCTTGGTTGTGTGCTTTATGAGTGTTACTCAGGGAGGCCTCCCTTCGTGGCGAAGGAGTTTACACAGTTAGTAAAATCTATCCTCTCTGATCCGACTCCACCTCTTCCTAGTAACCCAAGCCACTCTTTTGTCAATCTGATAAACTGTCTTCTGGTAAAAGATCCTGCTGAAAGGATACAGTGGCCTGAGCTTTATGGCCATAGTTTTTGGAGAACAAAGTTCACTCCTGTGCCTCTACCTCCTCAGCCTGCTTTCACCAACATGATAGAACTTTCTGCTAGGAACTATCTTTCAGAGCGCAATGGTGATAAGCCCCTCCAACATAAGACACCCCCCAAATATCGTGAAAATGATTCAAAGGGAGTTCCTAAACAGGACGAGAACTCTATTTCAGGGGCAAGAGGTTTTGAGACACCAGTTAAGAATGTTCCTGCGGGCCGAAAAACTCAAACTAGGCCTTCTAGCAGAGTTACTGAGGAGAAGCAGAAAGATGCTTCAAGTGCCACAAGGGGTGTGAATCTTCTAAGGCTCTCAAGGATAGCAAAATCAAACCTGCAGAAAGAAAATGAGAAAGAAAATTATCGGAGGCCCTTGCCCAATAGTACCGAAAATGATGCTGAAGTTAAAATTGAGAACAATGACATGGAGCTTGATTTTAATGAGAACACTGAGGATGAAACACAGGACGAAACAGATGGATGTGAAAATTCTACTCCTACTCATGTTGAGAAACTTCCAAGTATAGATAAGGACAATGGCAAAGTGGAAGAGACTGATCATAGTACAGTCCACATGGATATCTCTCCAGAGATCAATGTGGCTGTCTCTGATGACCCAAAAACACTTGAGCAGGAATCTGGTTCAGAACACATTGAAGTAGTTGCTACTCCGCCTGGTGGTGGTCCCCAAAGAAAGGCTCAAAGGGTTAAAGCAGTGTCAGGGAATGCAACTGATTCTGATTCCTCAAGACCATCCAATAACCTTTCACAGGTGCTTTGGCATCCATCAGATCTCTCAGTGAGACCTGTAATGCCCAGCAGAAGAGGTGATAAAGCTTCAGAGGCAACTTTATCACTTCCCTTTGATGCACCAATAGCATCTGATTTTGTGAAATTGTCCAAAGAGCAACTTGATGTACTCAACACTCGTATAATATCCATTCTGAATGGCAACATCCCTGTTGGAGAGAAGCAGAACACAATTAGATATCTTGAAATGTTAAGTGGGAATGCTGATGCTGCAAATATCTTAACCAATGGGCCAATTATGATGGTCCTTGTCAAAATGCTACGACTATCAAAGGCTTCTACTCTGCGCGTTCAACTTGCTTCAGCTATTGGGTTGTTGATTCGACATTCAACCTTCATTGGAGATGATATAGCGAGTTCTGGTATTTTGGGGGCATTAACAGATGGACTTAGAGACAAACAGGAAAAAGTGAGGAGGTTTTCTATGGCTGCTTTGGGTGAGTTGTTGTTCTATATATCCACTCTAAATGATCAAGCCAAGGATAGTAATCCTCCAGAATCTCCATCAAAGGATAGCCGATCTGCATCTGGGTGGCAGGTTTGCTTCTCTCTCTCTCTCTCTCTCTCTCTCTCCCCCCCTCTTAATATTTCCAATTTTTCATCTTGGAAGTTCTATTTTACCCACTAAAAATCTTTGATTTTGTTAACCTTTGTTTTCTACCTATTTCTTGTTCTCAAAATTAAATCCATTATTCATACATATGTTTTCTTCCCCCTTTGTAGGTTCCAAGTCCAGTAATTTCACTGGTGTCATCCATTTTACGGAAAGGAGAGGATGATGTAACTCAGCTTTATGCTTTGAGAACAATTGAAAACATTTGCAGTCAAGGTGGGGATTGGGCAGCTCGGTTTACCAGCCAGGATGTGATTGGTAACCTCTGCTATATATTCAAGGCCCCTGGGAAACAGGAGAGTACAAGGCTAACTGCAGGATCTTGTTTGGTTCGGCTGGTTCTTTTCAACCCCCCTAGCATTCAATCAGTCATGGAGAAACTTTCATTTAAGGATGCTGCATCTGCTTTTGTCAAAGGCGGTCAACGGGAGCAGCAGATCAACTTGAACCTTCTAAACATGGCCATGATTGGAAGTCATATGTTCACAAACATTGGCCGGCACCTTCTGTCCTTAGTGGAAGAGAAGAATCTAGTGCCGAGTCTTTTATCACTAGTTGAGCAGGGAAGTGAAGTCCTTCGTGGGAAGGCACTTATTTTTGTGGCTCTCCTCTGTAAGAATGGACGGAGGTGGCTTCCTCATTTCTTCTGCAATGTGAAGTTTCTCTCTGCAATTGATAGGTTGGTGAAAGAGAAGGACAGCTATTTGCAGCAGTGCATGGGGGCCTTTGTGCATGTTGTGTCCTCTGTTGTGCCTGGTCTACTGGAGAGTATAACTGGAGATATTCAGCAAATGATGAGTGGGAGACGTCATGGGCAGGTTGCTGCTCTGAACAGTCGAGCCACTAAAATCAATGTTCATTTGTTTCCTGTGGTGCTCCACCTGCTTGGAAGTTCATGCTTTAAAAGCAAAATCATCAGCCATCAGGTGCTGGAGCAATTGGCGAACCTCATCAAGCTTATTGAGTCACCTTTTCAGGTTATGAGTTGAGCTTTCAATTTACGATTTCTCTCCCTCTGTGTTTGTTTTTCTCTCACAGGCCATATAATTCACTAATAAAATTTCCCCTTTGTTTCTAATTGTAGAATAATTGGCAATGTGTCTTAATATGCTGTCAGTATTTTTAGGAGTTTGAAATTGACTCATAACCTGAATAGGTAATGCTGGTAACTGAAAAATAGACTTGCTCAAATATTAACTTCAATGAAAAAAATTGAGGTAAAAAACCTTGTGAAGACTTGCCTGTATTAATAGATTTGCTTTTGTTGATTTGTTCTATCTTTAAATTTTTTATAGTAACTTCTAGAAGACTAGAACTACTTCCTATGAACCCGAACTCTAACCTGACGTCAGTTACATAAATCATCTTCTTTATGGATCCTCTGGATTACTGATACATTTATTATCTTGTCAAATTGCAGGGCAGAGACGATTTCCAAATAACACTTCTGCGAATTCTTGAGTCCATCACAGAGGAGCCCTCCATTGTTCTTGAAGACCCCAAAATTTTCACCACTCAAATTCTCCCTAGTCTGGCTGTGTTGTATAAAGGAAACAAAGATGGAGATGCCAGGTTCCTTTGCCTGAAGATATTCTTTGATGTGATGGTTATTGTCTTGAATGAACCATCAGAAAATGAGCAAAGAAGAGGGGACTTAAAGTCTATTTCTTCTGCCCATTTTATCCCATTGTACACTAGCTTTATGGAGGACGAAGATCCAATTCCCATGTATGCACAGAAGCTCCTTCTGATGCAAATTGAGTTTGATTACATAAAAATTCCGGACATCCTACATCTGAAAGCGGTCTCAAAGTGCTTTGAATTTCTTCTTGGTGATCTGTCCAATGCAAATGTTAATGATGTTAATCTCTGTTTGGCTCTCACGTCTGCCCCAGAAATGGAAACTAAGATACTCTCTCAACTAAGAGTTGTTAGGAGGATTGGCAACCTCCTGGAGCTTGTGAATGCAAAGGAAATGGAAGATTTTCTTGAACCTACTCTTGGTCTATGTAGGGCTTTCCTTATACGAGCTGTGTGCAGCAAAAAGGACTTCATATATTCAAAGGAACCAGCTCTATTAGGTGGTGATATTTCCCTTGATGTGAGCAGTGCAGTTGATTTGCAGCATTCCATAAATGATATCGCCGACTTTGGCAATAGTGTTGGTGTACTGCTGGAATTGAGTGGATCCCCTAATGCACAGATTGCAGATTTGGCATCTGAGTGTGTGATTTTATTGCTCAAGGCAGCTCCAAGGGAGGGGACTAATGGACTTTTGACAAACCTTCCCAAGGTTATTGGGATCCTGGAGTCTTGGAGACGTGTTTCATTTGGCTTACTCTTGCGTCGCATATTGCATGCTCTTGGTTACTCATGTAGGTTCTACATGGGCCATGCAATGATATTGTCAATAGCAACATCTGAGATTACAAAGATTAAAGCCATCGTTTCTGATATTAAAAACTCAACCATCCCCAGTGTTGCCAATGCTGCTTCAGTTGTTGTTCTGGAGTTGCAGCACCTTCCTCATTGCTTCTGAGGCAATAAAATGTTAGTTACTTTCCGAGGCTCAAAAAGCATGTACTCCTGTGCTTATTTAAAACATCATTATACTGAAATTTCAGAAATTTGCTGTTGTGCACAGGATTATAAATCGCCAATTTACTACATATAAGCTTGTTCAGTCCTTGTTTCCCAAGATCTCATCTGAGGTTATATTATCCTCATATTGAGGTGAGTTTGTCTTCTTATCTGTTGTACACATGGCCGCATTAACTGGGCCCGTCTCTTGTATAATCCATGTATCAACATAGCATTATTAAGGTGCTCAATTTGGCATTGTTTCTTGAGAATTTCTTGTGTATTGTTTATTCTCTATTTCTCTGTTATAATTGTGCATTGTCTCCATTGATGTTGCCTTACTACAGTCACAGGGATAAGAAATAGATGGATGCCTGAACATATTATGTGAGCAGTGAATTATTCTTACTGCAATGTACTCACAGTCTGCAAAGGGTGATCGGGGAAATTAATTGAATACATTGTCGGATCAACTTTCTGAATAATCTTGCCCCCATCAACCTATTATTTGTTTAGAGGTTCTATTTTCTGGTGTGGTGTGACTTTGACCTTGTCTGCATATGCTCCAGAGAATTGAGTTCATAAATCCTGCATCCAGCAGTCAATTCCAGAAACTTTCTTGTTAGCTAGCTAACTTCATATGTAGCTTGATGTCCCTATCTGATGCACTGTAGATCAAAGTGGAAGCCAGGCTGTTTTATACACAACCCAAAAGATGCCAAAATGTGCATTAGTAAAGCAACCTGATATTATTTTGGATGATAATAGTTCTTACTTCTAAGGACAAATATTTGTCTATAAATTGCACTGACACATGATTTTAAATACAGATAATAAGGATTAAAACATCATTGCCATTTATGGATCTGTTTTAGAAGCATCAGCTCGATTCAACTTGGCCTTAATCCCGACTATCCTTTGCTATTTGTGCTTTATGCCTTCATCAAGAACTGCCTACCTAAGAAACATCTCACCAAATAAACTATTTCTTGTTTTTCTAAATGTGAGGAGACTCAGACTGAATTTACACTGCAAATGGATCCTGATTCCTGAACCTTAAATTATATGAGAAAAGGGGTGAAAGAGAAAGACAAGGAAGGCAGCTTGATAGTGTAGAAACAATTGTCAAGTGACAGTTAATGACCAGCAGATTCTGTCTTTTCTTCAAAACCATGTGTATTGGAAAGAAGGGTGAATATGAATCTAGTTTGAAAGGCTTGATTTAGCTTGGTCTAAATATAAATTTTTTAATATGTATATATATATATATATATATTTTATTTGAGGCTTGACTTATTCTCAAGCTAAAGCCAAACCAAGCAGAGCTTAAACATGAGCCTGAGTCAAGCCAAATTTGAGCTGGAGACTGAATTCGGAGTTGAAATCAGCCCCTCACAAGATAGTTTTCCACAATGTCCCACAGCACATCCCTGCCGTGTATTGAGAATATCTCCCGATGTTGCCTCATTATTTCTCGTATTTATCATTGAGAGATGTTCCCAATACACAGCAGTGATGTGCTATAAGACGTGGGAAATGGGGGCTGATTTGAACTCCTGAATTCGAGCCTTTTTTTTCCAGGACTGAGGACAGCTATTTAACTTTGCTAGACTCGTGGTCTCGGATCCACCCCTAATTTGTTAATTTTGGCAGGACGGACAACCAACAGCGGTTTACATGCTCCAGGTACAGCAAGAACGGGGCCGGACTTCTCTGTAATTGTTGGTTCATGGCCAACATCATTCATGTGAGTTTTCATTTGCTTGCTAATGGCCAAACCTATGACCAATCAATAATCTGATTCTCCCATCGCATCCTTTGTGGACCCTCAGCATTAGACATTTTATGTTGACCATGATGAGTGCGGTGCTGCTTCCGTTAGTATTTTGATCGAAGGAAGAAGCAAGCATACCTTCCTCCGTGACTTGCGCAGGAGAGTTTTCCGCCGTTGGCTTCCAACTGGTCCACAACTGTCACTAATCAAGATCTTGAGTGAGTTCTTATCTTGCGCTTCTGTACCACCTTAAATGATTGAAACAGGATAGCTCCGTCCTCCGTTACTCTGATTATACGAGGTTCCGGATTCACTAATCAGTCGGTCGGGTTATCCTCTTTAGTGGGCCAGACTTTCATCAGGTGGACTCTCTTCTCCTGAAACCCAAGGCAGTATACTATTCTCTGGCATTTACCTTATTAACGGTTAGGGAAGTACCATAGTACCATACTACCAGACGTGGAAATGTGCTCTGGGCAGCCCGATAGGGCTCGTTAATCACCAAATGAGCAATTGATTGCCACGTGTCGCACCTGTGGGGTTATTCGAATTCTCTTTGCAAAATCATGCTTCGGATTCCATTTCCCTTAACGTAGCCTTGCCGGAATTCAAATGTATCGTTACTGTCTCTTTTTTCCAATTACTTTTATTTGCCGTCAAGACCTCCCTGAACTTTCAGATTTTACCATTAAGTTAGGGTGGTGAAGGACGAGTAGGTTGATTTACCAAAATACCTACTTTAAAAACTTGTATAAAATGGAAATTGCAACACAATTTATTTAGAAACCTAGAATTGCAACAAATACAACAAGAAATTAATATCAATTAAACCAATAACAAATGGAATTTGAAAAAAAATTGAATGAATATGTTGTTTAGAAAATAATTGGAAAAATGATAGTATGGGGATTTAGAGATGTTTAAACAATCACATGAGATTTTTTTTCAAAGTTAACTAATGTAGTTAGAGGTATAATTGGATCTGATTCAGCAAGATCCGAATATGATCCGATTATTGAAAATTTGCATTTGAATCTGATCCGAAATCAGATCGGATTTAAAGATATTGGATCCGAATTTGAATCCTAATGGGCTCAGATTGGATTTTGATTTAATCCGATTTTACTTTAATTTTTTAAAATACAAAAAAATTACTTTTCAACTTTTATATAATGAATTTTAATATAAATACATATACTGAAATAATTATATAAAATTTATATATTAAAATAAAATATGTTATAATATAATTAGATTAAAATTTTAATCAAATCCAATAGAATCAAATCTAAATTCAATCCGATTACATAAGCACATTATCCAAATCTAAGATAATAAGATCAAGTATTGAATTGGGCAACGGATTTTCAAATATATTGACAAGAATGTTAGAGATCTTTATTAAAATCTAAAAATTCAGGGTTCTTTTCGCAATTCAGGTAGATAATTAATTACCACTGCCCCTAAAATACATGGTAGTAGCACGTAATTAAAAAAAACCATGGTTACTCCTTTAGGTTGTAGTCTGCTTGAACCTTCCTGCCCAATAAATAAATCACGGACTGAGCGAGTTACAGGAAAATAAAATTTGAAAAGAAAAACAATAATTGTCAATCTTGTCCCGTAGCAAACATGCCAATCTGTATTTTCCATTGTTACCCAATAATCACTTTCCACGTGGCGCATCAGTGGACCCACACTCATTGATCAAACCTTTTAAGCTCTCTTCATCATAATACTCCACTCAGCTTTCTCGCCTTGGTCTCGCTCTCTCTCTCTCTCTCTTCTCCCCTCTCGAAGTTCTCAAAAACACATTTATTACAGTCTCTCACTCCTCCAAATCCAATAAAGTGTTTGATTTGATCATCATTTAATGGCTTCCTTTTCGCTACTCTTCGCGCTCATCGTCGCCTCCATGCTCCCACTCTCACTCACTCTAGCTTCGGAGCTAAAATTGGAGTCCTCAGCCATATCAGCGGCGCCTGCTTTCTTGCCAAACCCACCGCTCTCGGCTCCTTCGCCGGCATTATCCCCGGACATAGATCCGTTGTTTCCAACTCCAGGCGGGGCGAAGACTTCTCCAACTGTGTCGTCTCTGCCCACCATTCCTTCCAACCCAAGCCCTCCGAATCCGGACGAAATTGTTTCATTAGGGCCCGACTCGGGGCTTTCACCATCCCACTCTTTACCGGCCTCGTCTTCCAGCTCTCTCAGTTCAGTCGGGCCTCTAAATTGGGCAATGTTTCTGGGTCTGGTCGTGTTCTGGCAAACACAGCTTTTTGGCATGTGACTAGTGAGTGAGGTACTACTGCTGGTGCTGGACTGTTTGGGTGGGGGGAGCTGCAATTCAAGCATTCAATTATTGTCATTATTTGGTTCCACTTTTGGTTTCATGCCTGAAGATCTTCTAATTAATTTGTTCTTCTCTTTTCAAAACCTACTATAAAATGTTGTTAGTGCTCTAGGTTTTTCTTTCATCTTTCATGCTGTAAGATACCCTTTTTTGTATTTTAATTAATTTTGTAATTGGTTGTAATTTATTCTATTGAATTGAGAGTTAAAAGGTGGAAATTGGTTGGGAAGACTGGTGGTCAATTCCACCCTAGAGTTTGTGTTTCTTTTATTCACTTGTTCCTGCTGTTCTTTTTTTTTTTCAATTGAATCATTCATTTTATTAACATGGGTTGGGTCAGATTGGGTGGGGGCACATGGCTTTGGGGTAGGTATGGTAGCTCACATGGCTCTGTATAGACATCACAGTCAGTGAGACAGGGCATGTGAATGGGGGACTGTCTTCCATGACTAAAATCAAGCTATCTCAATTCTCAAAGATGACATTTAGTTCTAACGGTCATGAGACAGCAAAGCCCAACCCTGGCTGTGTCCTTGGCTAACTAACTGGCATTGTCATTTTGTCAAACACTAAGTTGGAAACACTAACTAGCATTGTCATTTTGTCAAACAGTGGCTGAATTGTTCTTTTTACTTGATAGGGCTTATTCTTCTTCTTGCATATGGCTTTAAAAGTAACTTATTACTTCCTCTTTCTTAAAAAGCAGTGAAGATGCTGAAAAAGTGTAAAGGTGCTCCTGGAAAACATCAAGGAAAGGGACTGTTGAGAATAAAATGGACAGTGATTGTACCTACACTTCTCCCAATTTCAATACTTGAAACAGAAGTACAGAACTATTAGTAGACACCTAAAAAGAATATATATACTATTAAATGAATGAGAATGGCAAAAGAAAATTACAATATCTTCATGACTATAAAAGCCTATTGTAAAGAGAAAACCCCAATAGCAAAAACCTAACTACCCAAATATAGATTTGTAAGCCCTATTTCTTCTACCTTATGACTACCAAAAAAATAAAAAATTTCTTCTACCTTATATAAATACATGAATCTATATGAGCCATCTTATATGGTTTACAATATCTTCATGAGCCATCTTTCTCTAGAGGGCTACAACGCTAGTTTGGGGATTCACAAACCCATTAAATAATTTCATTGAGAATGCTTCTTTCAGCTTGCTAAATTCGAAGGGACTTCTTTTCTTGGACGGTTCCTTGGCAAAATTCTTCTTCAGAGTCGCATTTTCCTCCTTCAGAACTTCTATAGCTAAGCTGAGTTGTCTTATTACTTCCCTCTTCTCTTCGTCCTTCTCCATTAATTTGTCTTTTTGGATCCTGTTTTCCACCTTGAGTCTCTCTATTTCTTCTCTAAGCCTCATCACTTCACTCTCACTAGCACTGATTTCACATGAAACTTCTTCCTCTTCCCTCTCTGCATCCACTTGAATTACTTCTTCCTCTTGTTCAGGGTCATCAACTTCAGACTCCCCAGATTCCTCGGAATCAAAATTCTCGGAGTAGCTATCATAAGACTTCTGCATGGGGCTTGTTATCTTCTGAGTTGAGTATTTGCTGTGATAAGGAGACCCTAATGGTGTGACCAGGCGGGCCCCAGATTCTGACTTAAGCTGATCAAATCGTTCGGCTAAGGAGCGGTGTGCCCGGTAGAAATCCTCAACCATGTTAACCAGCTCTGGCCGCTTCTTGTAGTACATCTCGGCACGCTGCGCAAAGGAATCCGCATCTTCTTCAATCAGTTTCAGCATTGCCTTTGTCTTCTCGTCAAGCTCTGTCACATAAGGAAAATTAGCCTCAGTTTAAGAAAATAAGCATAGTCACATGGACAGTGTCGTCGGTGGCAGAGGATGAATGCATCACTAGAATTTGATAATGATATTTGCTTATGTCTAGTCAAACTCCACTATGTCCAAATATCCAATATGTTTATTTTTAGATTGAATCAGATATGCCTACATCCGAATTTGATTTGTTCCTCAGATTCCACTTATGCTTTGAATTTAGATTGAATTCAGATCAAATTCGATAAATATTATCAGAAATAAAATTAAAATAATCTATAAGATAATCCAAAATAAGACTTGAACCCATGCCTCCTTTTGTAAACATACAACACTTAAACCAGCTTGCAAAAGAACTATACTGGATTGGATAGTGGTGGATCCATACTCGATCCGATCAAATATAAATAGATCAAATTTGGGTCACCCTTATGTTCTTTGTTGCAGCCAAATATACTTTATTATGCCGTCTATTAAAGAATGCTACAATAGAATCGGGTGGAACATGACTCCACAGCGAATACCATTGCAGCCCTATTTTTTAGGATTCCAAAAGGGTGGACGAAACCCCACTAGTCCCTAGGCCCAATCCATCATCTACATATTTTATTCAAAGGAAACTGGTAACACCGTGAACAACAGGATCTTGGCTCTTTGAAACTTAAAAAGTTAAAACCCCGAATGATTTTTTTTTTCTTTTTTGCCAGAAAAAAGGGTAACCCATTAGCTAGATCAAGTCATTACAACCTAAATTCAGGCTGCCCTCATTACATACCAAAACATTGTAATTGCAAGCATTATATACTAGAGTATGGGCAGTGAAATTCATTAGATCTACTAAATGATTTTTAGTTTCATAGACAGTAGGTGGCAAAAAATTAAGCTACTTCACCCCAGGTTTCCTAAAAACAGAACCAATAAGTGTGACAATCAGAGGACCTCGGTCACGATTCAGATTCTATGGTGGAGAGGAAAGGCAAGGCCCACCATGTGGTTTAGTCAGAAAACCAGGTTTCATTTGTCATAATTTGTTAAAATGATGAAGTTTGATAGACTAATCTTAGGGGTTGGTCCCCAGCACAGTAGTTTTCCTGAATTACTTTAATTTAGCACACTGTTAGTTGTTCTTCAATACAGTAACGTCTAACAAGAGAAAAATAACCAGAAATCAGAGCTACAAATACTAAAACTAGGGAGCCCCCAACAGTCGAGCTGTCCTGTAAATTAACAATGGACTGACTAGAGAGATAAGGAAGGGTGGGTACCCGTAAGCGTGGATTGGAGCCATGCGGAGCGCCTCGGGCTGTTGTGACTGTCGAACCACCACGAATAGGAAGGCTTCTTCATGCTCAGCATCATCATCTTCTCTTACCTTCACCAAAACCAAACACCACCCACCAACAAAATCAAGCCAAGTAACAGAAATGAAATAATATCAAGAGAAATTTAATTTGACTTAATAAAACTCCCACAATAGTTGGGACTCAACAAAATCCGGCTTATCTCAGAGCCTCCACAGCTCTTAATTTGAATTTTGAAGAACACTTGGAGGGCACACTTTGGGCTGTCTGTGTGTCGCTCCTCCCTCTCCGGGGTCGCAATTTGGAGACAATCCTCAGGGCAGTCCAGAACGAGCCACCAGATTTTGGAACTGGATATCTGATCGTGCTTATCTTTGGCGACAGCCAACTGGCTAAACGGTAGACGGGCCACCTATCCAGTGAACGGTCCTGATCGGCTGATCCCCTCAAATCGGAACACGTTCTGAGTAATGCAGCACTGCCCAAGTGCTAGGTGTCCCGTCACCGTGTCTGCACTGCAGACTGAATTCAAACAGGTATCGCTTTAATTTTGAAAGGGTATTTTTGTCAGAATGCCCTAAACATTGACGAAACGTGTCTTCAAAAACTAAGGATATTTTGGTCATTTCGGCTCAGAATTCAAATCGACTTCGAGGTACCAGACTCTAGACTCTAGTCTAGTCCAAAAATAAAAGCGGAGAAGTACTCCCTAGGGGTTTTTACAGTTCAGTCCATCTCTATGGTGGAGATAGGATCTAGGGGTGGCCTGAAACTCTGGAGTCCAAAAATAAAAAAAAATAACTAAAAAAACAGAGGAAAAGAAATGAAGAAAAACCCCAGCTTCCAGTGTTTAGCAACAACTCTATGAATGGCCAAAATAAGCGGAACCTATTCTAGCAAGATTCTGAACGCCGGATTCAGCTGCTGGAAACCGACGTCCCGGTTAAGAAGACGCGATCACCGGTCAGTAACTAAGTCAATGAGCTACGAAACATCAACACCAAATGCGAATCCAGTCGCCGAGATCTGACCCAACGAATTTCCTAACTTAACCAAATAAGAACTAAGCAGCAGGCCAACAAATGACACAAAACAAGCGTATTGCAAAGTAGGATATGGAGAAGAAGGAGACAGATTGAGAGAGAGAGAGAGAGAGAGAGAGAGAGAGAGAGAGAGAGAGAGAGAGAGAGAGAGAGAGAGAGAGGCGCACCTACCTTGAGTTCCCTCTCGTCGCTGGCTCCAGGGGAGGAGGAGGGAGACGTCCTTCTGTTCGCAAAACTCTGCTCCGACCGAGTAGACTTCAAACCACAGAAGAGGAGAGTGCTTTGTGTGATGTGTTTTAAAACATAGCCCGGTTTCGAGTTTGTCTCATTTTAGGACTGATACGAGCTATTCACCCTATTAGAACGTGACACGCGTCCCGAAGCTGATTTTTGAGCGTCGAGATAGGAATTAACGTACACATGCCTAAAATAATCTACCTTGAATTGTCTAAACTATCCCTACCCACTCCCGTTATTTGCCACCTAACTCTGCATAACGGCTTGGCTGAGACCGAATCAGCCCCCCCACAACATCCCCACCGTGTATCGGGATCATCTCTTGATGATGACATTCAATACATGGCGGCGATGTGCTGTGGGACGTTGTGGGGGCAGTCTTGTGTGGTGCTGTGCTTAGGGTTTTTGTTAGCTAAACCAACCCAGTAATTAAACGACTTCGGATTTGTTCCTTAGAACGCACCTCACACCAACCTCAGAGCACGTTGCCACCTCACACCAACCTCAGAACATGTTGCGGTCGTGCATTTGGAATATCTCTCCATGTGAATCTTACATCATGTCCCAGTTGGAACATCACTCATACTAAAGGGGCGTGTTTTTTTCGGATTTTGAGAGGGGGAAAGTTGGTCAATGGGATTTTGGTTTCCATTGACCAAGAATCTCATGTTCTTTTTTCAGATTTATGTGGGGATTAGGGAATGTTTATTTTCTTGGGTAAGTGATACCTATCTCTTAAGTGGGTAAATAACTTTCTCACTTAGGGGGAAAGTTGCTAACACTTGAATGGCACAAAAATGCCCTTTTCAATAATAGATTTATATGGCTAAAATGGTCATTGCCTTATTTACATGAGAAATAAAAGAAAATGGGTAAATGCACTTGCCCGGATAAGTGTTTCTTAGGAAAAACTTACCCAGATAATTGCATTTACCCGACTAAGTAACTTACAAAAAAGCGAGCGAGGCCTTAAATTATTATTCATGGGAAGTGTCCTCGATATATGATATATGGTGGGATGTGACTATCAAGCTAGTGTGAAACGTACTCTTGTGAGGAGAAATCTGAATTCCCATTAAAGGGATTTGTGACTGCATTGGCTTGTTGGGACAAATGTTTGGAGTGTTTGTTAGTAGCAGTTAGATCTATCAAAAAAGTAAAAATTTACGAGTAATCCAATCCGTCGTCAAAATTCAGGTTGGGTAGGGATGGGCCACTGGCCACAGGCTCACGAGTTCACATCAACGCCCCACAAGGGGGTGCCCCACAACGCCCCGCAACACATCCCGACCTTATATTGGGAATATCTCTCGATGACAAGTATGGGAGATGATGTGACATCATCAGGAGATATTCCCAATACAAGGTCAAGATGTGTTGTGGGGCGCTGATGTGAACTCCAGACTCACAAGTAACCTATTTTGAATCGAATGATTAAACTTGTGTTTTTGGTAAAAAAACCATTGATCCATCTGATCCATGGGTCAAATCCGATCCGATTGCTAGGGCTAGGTTATAAAACTAAACCATTCAATTTAGACTCTTTCTGGTTTGCAGGAATAGGGGTTTAGAATCAGAATCAAAATGAGCTATTCTGACTCCAATTGTTTAATTGAATGGAATCAGAATCCTATTCCCATTCCTATTGAAATGGCATTCCCCCATTTGAGGGAATAGTCATTCCCTACCCCTCTATTAGGAATGAAATCCCATTTTTATTGATTCCAATTCTCATTCTCATTTCTGTTTGAACCAAATAAACTTTGGGAATAAACCATTTCCATTCCAATTCTAATTCTAACCGCAAACTAAACGTATCCTTAGCTCTTTTTTTGTCCTTTTACTTTAGAGTGCTTCATAAAGTGGTTCACTCCTAATTGTGGTCCGACCTGTCGGTTTGAACCCACATTCATTCATTGATACGAGCTGGAACATGTGGAATCATTTTGAGCCACTAGTAAACCATTCCCACATCTCATATTTTAAGGGTTGGCCCTTATTTATAACGTTTCTTGTCATTTTGATTTTTTCCCTTCATTGAATGATCTTAGAAGAAAGTGTCAAATCCGACCCGAACCGGGAAAGCATCAATGGAGTGAGATGGCATTATGATTTTGATTGTGATATGGGCCTTTAAGCTTTTACCAAGAAAAAATAGATTGCAGATTTCGAATCGGCATAAATTTGAATAAATGGGCACAGCTTGGCAGTTTTCGAGTAAGACAAGGGTATTATAGGGATTTCATTTCACAGGGAATTAATTGACTGGGTGTTAGAGATGGAGCGTGCTGGACAAAGAAAGAAAGAGATTGCAACGGTCGAAAAATCGCTTTAGGTGTGGGCCATCGTGACTCGGTGAGTCGGTGGTCGTGGACGAAGAATCTCTGTGTGGCTTCGTCCTCAATGACGAGTTGGCAACTGTCACAAGGTTGTTGGGACTTGGGAATCAGCTGTGAAGCGCCTCGTGTTTGGATAATAGATGTTTGGTTGCAGGCATCGTGTTGTTGTAGGATGACTAAATAATCCATGCCGATCACAACCTGGGCTGAAGGCTGAAGCTATTTGAGCACCAAACAGGCTCATTGTCTGAGCAGCCTGAGATGGGTGGATAGACTTTAGGGGGGCGTTTTTTTTTTGGATTTGGAGAGGGGGGAAAGTTGGTAAATGTGATTTTGGTTTTCATTGACCAAGAATTTCATGTTTTTATTTTTCAACTTCATATGGGGAATAGGAAAAGTTTATTTTCATGGGTATCACTTTTCCAGGAAAATGTGATACTCATCAACTAAGTGGATACATAATTTTTCTATATATGGGAAAAGTTGTCAATATTTGAATGAGACAAAAATGCCCATTTTAATAATGGATTTCTAAGGTTAAAATGCCATTGTCTTATTTACCTGGGAAACAAAATAATATGGGTACATGCAATTTACCGAAAAGGGAATAGGCATCGTGTTGTTCAAACTTTAAACTTGGTGAATGGTGACCACAACATTTAAGGCTGCATTTGGTTGCAATGTAAACCTTGAACCAAGTATAAATTTTGCCTAAGTTTGGAAAGAGTATAAATACAAATGTATAGAATACAAAACCTTGTATTTTGTATTCTTTTGTATAGTCTGTTCTATACATATTTGTATTTGTGAGCCATATATGATTCAGTTGGTAAAAGTACAAATACGAATACATACAATAAAAATACAAGGTATAGAAATATAAAGTACAAAATTTGTACAGTATATATTTGTATTTATACTCTTACCAAACTGAGCCTATAATTCACACTCCTACGCGATACAAAATTTGTAATTTTTATCTTATTTGCTGTCACTAGTAGTCTAGTAGTTTAGTATAAAATTTGCATTTAAAAAACTAATGCAATCTAGTACCACCTTCCCATAACCTCAAAATTTTCTTATATAAAGTGGACCACATCATCACGCTTCCTACCTCATTCCCAAACAAATAACCTTATCACACTTTTATTTTTTATTTTATTTTTCACAAATAAAATACAACGCCCCAAATCTGAAGCAAAAGTAAATCAAAATTTACACTTAGCCTATTTTGTCTTCTATGCTTTTAAACCTATGCAAATGAAATGATAGGACAGATAGAGGGCTGTTGTGCCATACACGAAGAGTGGTGCATGAACATGAGAAACTGTGATTGTTGCATCATAAAACTTCGGATCCGGAGATACAACGCTTTATCGGTAAAGGCTCCATAATAATTGCAAGGTGCATGTACTAAAGTTTGAACTTCACACGTTGGGGTGGTGATTCATTATTTCATTAAGAGATGGACCACCAGTGGCGGTATTGGGATATGGGCTGTAGGAGGATTTAATTATTTATATAAATAAATAAATAAATATATATATGGGTGCTCTCTTCGTGCAAGAAATAGAATTTAATTATATAATTCTATTGTTAATAACTAGAATTAACAATATATATATATATATATATTTAATTATATAAATAATAATAGTTATTATAAATATTGTTAATAACTAGATACTGAACCGTTTGAATAGTTTTAGCTGTTTTTTATTTTTTATTTTTTTATCAGAATGGATTGATCGTTTGGTTTGAACGGTTGGACCATTTGACCAAGTAATCGGACCCTTGACTGGTTCGGTCACCGGGTTGGTTTTAAAATTATATAAATATTGTTAGATAATTAGATATATATAATTATCTAATTATATAAATATATAATAGTTATTATAAATAGTGTTAATAACTAGATATCGAACTGTTTGAACGGGTTTGACCGTTTTTTATTATTTTTTTTAATTTTTTATTTTTTTTCAGAATGGGCCGACCGTTTGGTTCGAATGGCTGGACCGTTCAACCCGATAACCGGACCCCTGACCGGTTCGGTCTCTGGGTCGATTTTAAAAACCATGATGTTATGTTATTCAAGCGTGTGACTCATACGACCCGAAAATGGAACCATTTTGGCCATTGATTTTTGGGTCGACAATTCAACCGTCTGGTTCGAATGGACATCCCGTTCTAACAACAAAAATTTAAAAAGGCCAAAAACCATTGAACGGGTCAACGGGTTAACGGTTCGACCACTCGGGTCAATAGGTTGTTGACCGATTCAACGGTTTTTGGCCAGGGACCGGGATTGGAGTAAAACGGAATTGGTTGCCTAGACGGTTCCCAATTAAAAATATAAAAAAACAAACGACCCGTTCTTAAAACAAAAATTACAAAAAAATTGTGTGTGAGGTCCATTAATCAGTATCATACGTGTTATGTCATTCGAGCATGTGACTCATACGACCTAAAAACGGAACCGTTTTGGCCACTGATTTTTGGGTCGACGGTTCGACTGTTCGGTTCGAATGGATGGCTGTTTTGACAATAAAATAAAAAAAAGAACAAAAACCATTGAACGGGTCAATGGTTCGACCGCCCGGGTCAATGGGTCGTTGACCGATTCAACGATTTTTGGTCAGGGGCTGAGATTAGAATAAAATGGAACTGATTGACTGGATTGTTCCCAATTAAAAATAAATAAAAAACAACAA